GGTTTTCATGAGCTGTAAGCCATAATCATCACAATTATGACAAATCACGGCTTGAATTATCTTGCTTTGCATGTAATGAGTCTATCTCATATATTAGTTTCACCTTTTAAGTTGCATTAGTGAAATAAATGAACTTTGCACGATATTCTAATTATTCGAGTTTCACCTGTATGTGCAGTTATGTATCTCACTTAAGATAATTCTCTTGTTGTACCTTTGTATTGGACCTGAATAATGTGCCTTATGAGAGGCAGATTCTGTATTCACAGTCTGTATGGTGCCATTAGTGCATGCACTTCTTTTTCACTGCAACGCAATGCACATTGTTGAGTGGTGCTACATTACATATCTGCCGGGAGATAGCACGCGCTAAAGTTTCATACTGGATTACTGCACAGATCTGGAGGAAATACAAAAAGTACACTAATGGGTCCATTTATAAACATTTCGCAGGGCCCATTCGTTTTGTTTGAATAACGGCAAAAACAAATGTTATTAATATATATTCTATTCAGCTAGAATATATTATGATGTAATACTGCATTATGGACACTAGATAAAGTTGAGGAACATAGGAAATAAGTAGGGATGCACCGATATATCGGCCGCCAAAACATATCGTCTGAAAATGGCACTTTTGGCAAAATGCCGAAAGTGCCATTTCTGCCGATATAGTGGTGCATCCCTGCTTTCTCTCCTCCCCGCTGGGCGCTGCTCTGTGTCCCAGCAGGGAGGAGAGAAACTGTCACAGACGGCAGAGCGCTGCGGGAGGAGAGCAGTGTGAGCGGCAGGCGTCTCTCCTCCCTGCACCGCTCAGTCTCCTGTCACAGATCAGAGGAGAGGTGTGTGTGGGGGGCAAAGACCGCCAGCGCTGTCACAGGAGGCTGGCCATCGGTATGGGGGAGGAGTCAGCTGTCAGATCGAGCTCTCCTCCCCGCACCGCTTGCTCAGCCTCCTGTGACAGTGTGTCAGGCAGGAGAGCGGGTACAAACACTCAGCGATCACTGAGTGTTTGTGAATAATTGAGGACATAGTATGTTTACTATAGCCTCAATTATGAATGAATGGGAAGTGATCTACATGACCTCCTGTTCATTCATGATTGTGGTTATAGTAAAAACACTATCTCCACATGTTATAAATGAACAGGAACACTCAGTATAGAGGATTCCTGTTCATTTATAACTGGGGCTGCAGAAAAAGAGATTGCGTCCTCAATTTATTTTTCTATTTTAAAAGGAAAATATCAGAGGTCTGTTTAGACCCCCAATATTTCCTCAAAGCACCTAAAAGTAAAGTAACAAATAAAAATAAATAAATAAAAATTAAATGTAAAACATTTAAAATCTTATAAAAAATGAATAAAAATAAAGTATACTACTATAAAGCTGGCCATACACTGAGTAAATTCTAGCCAGTTCTTGATGAAATTTGCTCAGTGGGTGGCCCTGTCGGCAGTCTTCTACACAACATCCTTCGATCAGAAAATTGAGGGCGATGGGTAAAAAATTATCAGCCGATCAGCTGCAGTCACTGTTTGGGTATTTTGACAGCGGCACACCCGCCATAGTCAGAATACAACAGCCTAAGAGAACATTTGTCCATCCATGCTCTTTAGCGTGGATGTAGGCATCAATTTGATTTTTTTTGTTCTGCCTGTAGACTGAATGAAAAAAATCTAACACTGTATGGCAGGCTTAAGTGAATCGTATTACTCTCTTAAGAATATTCCATGCTGCAGCACCTGTCGGAGCAGACAAACACCTGTTTTTTAATATTCTGTCCTAGAAATAGAATGTACTCAAATCACAACCATTTAAGCTTATTTCCTCCAGCTAACATCTATAAATGAAACACATTAGAGGCAGTTAATGATGTGGCGTGAATCCTTGATATCCCATTAGGTGAACTCTAGAGAGGTCAGGGACAGATCCAGTTTCCCCTCCTCTTCTGTCCCACAAGTGTTTTTCATTTTCTATAACCAGAGGTTACAAAAACAAAAAGAATAGAACGCCAGAAACCACATGATTAATCTGTTTAACCTCGAAAGGACATTCCGCATTTAGGGGACAGGCAGAAAGTCTTTCATAACAAGGATGCAGATACAGTAAATGTTTGTAGTCAGGATTTCTGGGGGAAAAAATGTTTTTTCCTTTAGGAAGTAGGCTTTTATGGAGAGAATATACAATCTGCAGTGCAATGCACAGAACTAAATGGATTTAAAGCACATATATTTCATTTGTGGTATTCTTGTGTATTCCTGTTGTACTTGCTTCAATTAACTTATCACTCTGATGCTGTTATATAAAGAGCTTTACTATCAATAAAAGGTATGTTTACAAAAAATAATATTTTGGTTGTGGGTAGATGTTAGTAGAATATCTGACATCTCCCTTGAGAATCCAGGTTCCTGGCTCCACCCCCTCATCTAAAACATTATAAGGTTAAGAAATGGAGCCATTTTTGCTCCATTCTTCATAATCAATCCTGCTCATGCTAGTGAATGTAACAGATATAAAATTCTGCGTGGATTCATGTGTGACATAAAAGCCCAGTGAATAGACTGGAATATCTGCTTTGGGTAGATTTGCCTTTTCACGTCTGCGGTCGCATTGGATTGCTTTGCATTGTCATTGAAGTAGTGATGTCCACTAACACCTAGTGGCAGTGTCGTGCCACAGCAACTTTTTTTATTGTGTATTTTGATATATTCCCTTCTGTTTGGAGCTAGTTAATACAGTCCTGGCTAGATCATCCTTGATTTCTTATGTTTCTCTCAGTTAGTTTCAGTTCATCACAGAGACAGGGCTTAGGAAAGTCATTCTCTCCTTACACTTCAAAAGACTGGAAAAACATCCTCTGTAGTGTACTTTGTGAAATAAAACTATGTTGGATTAATGTATGTGTCTAATTAAGGAGTTAAGCTGTGTGTGGATTCTGCTGAGTCAGCACATGGCCATACTGTCTGGACAGGCAGAGATTTTAGGAGGTATGTCATTACATAAAGCAGCATTTGATACAGAACAAACCTCTTATTACTTATTCTGAGCCACCTCTCGTCTAAAATCTAAGTACTCATGTGCAATGTCTAAAATAGAATGAACAAAACTGCATAACTGATTTACCCACTGTATTTTATTTAAGCGCTAAAGAATCATATTATTTATTGTTAATAATTAGTGAAATACTGCATATTAATATTTTATATTCACCACTTGTACCCATCATGTAACAAGCTTCAGGTATGAGAAGCAGCTGGTTGAAGTCTGATTTACAGCAGCAACACGAAAAACTGCAGAAAACAAAACAAAACAGGGAAAACATATTACACATATGCTCCCTTCCTCAATCTAAGCAAGGACTTGACCATTTGGTAGACATGTGCGATTCGTTTCGATCCGAATCCAAATTCGGACTAAATTTCGTAAATTCAGACATTCGGATGCATCGGAATTCCGAATTACAGATATAACGAATGCAAACGAATACGAATTTCCGATTCCCGAAAAACGAAATAACGCAAATTCGGAATCACAAGGAAACGAAACAAATTTTTTGCCAGTGCACGTTTGGCTTAGTAAGCCAAACACAGGGTGTCTCCAAGCTTATTATTAAGCCTCAGGGCCAGAGTCTAGGGCCCTGTCATTTTTCAGGGAACAATCACCACACGTACACCTTTGTAAATGTAATATATTCCAGCTTACCAAACCTTAGGTGTGGTGACTGCATTAGTTTCCCTTTTCTGGCATATGTTTTCTTTATTTTCACCTGATTTTTTTTAAAGGTGGTATTGCCCACTCACTGTACTGTATCTATGTAGGAGCAGGGGGAGGTTTTCTGTAGTACACAGAAGAGAACTTGGAGGGCTGATAACATTAAGTCATATTTTAAATCACAGGAAGATACAAGGACACTGTATTTCTGGCAGAATCAACAAGTATTTTCTGTACTTGCCTGAAACAAAAGAAAACGAATGCAGCCACCACATCGAAAGACTGGTAAGCTGCAATATATAACAATTTGTTTTTAGGCTTAGACATACTTTTATAAATGCAGGCTCATACATTTTGGCCCTGCCTCCTATATTTATGATGAATATATCTAGACCTGCCATCTCAGTCAAGCAAAGGAATTGCATGGGAGATAATGTGTGAAATGCACAATGTAACACAAAATAGTGAGCTGTGAAAACCCAAATGACAGTATTATATACTGTCTGACTGACAGGCAGTGTAATTATTACATAACTCCTCCCTAGGGTTGCCACCTGTCTGGGCTTCACCCGGACAGTTCGGGTTACAGGCCAGCTGAAACCCAGACAGAAGATCTCAAGTCAGGGGGACAGGGGCAACCACGGGGTCCTGGTGTTCCAACTTGAGTGCATGGAGGAGCCACGGAAACGGAGGGACCCTGGAACTCAAGGAGCAGGGAGGTCTCTAAAACACAGGGTGCAGATAAGTCTTGAAGGGCGAAGGGGTTCTGCTTCAGGCAGATGTATTGCTCGATATCTCTCCTTACTCTCTCTCTCTGCGTTCTCTCCCCCTGCTGTCCCTCCTCACTCTCTCCCCTGGCTGTCTCTCCTTGCTCTAATAACTGTCTCTGCTCGCTCTCTCCCCTGGCTGTCTCCAGTGTTAACTTTTACAGCAAATTTCAATTCAGTTCAAGCCGTAGTCTTTTGTCTCAAAATGCCATTTAAGTTTTAGTCGTATTTTAGTCATCTCAATTGTTTTGGTGTTAGTCTAGTTTTGTCAACTAAATCTCCAGTAGATTTTAGTCAACTAAAATCTACTGGGTTATTTAACCACTTGCTGTCCGACCTGTTGTGAAAAAACGGACGGACGGCAAACTCACATGGGCGGGTTGCCGTAATTACACAAGGTTTTTTTTTCTCCTAGCGCGCGTGCACGGGCAGAAAAACCCGCCCATTCTTTACACCCGTTACCGGCTATTTGAAATACAGCCCATTTTTTGACCATTTCTTAAGGTGCAGGCTCCAAGGCTGTTATTTTAAACCTCACCATATTTATAAGTCACTGGCTTGGAACAAGTATGCAGCCGCGCGGATCCGCTGACATGAACGATCCCATACATTGCTATGAGGACTGTTCATGCGGGTCCGCGTGATCTGATCCGCTTCCTTCCCGAATTGCTCTCCGAGCTTTTTTTTTCCACGCTGATCAGCACGGTTTCCATACAACTTTCAATGGGGTTTGGGGAGTTTTTTTATTGCATCTCACCTCTGAAACGCAATTCAAAACCGCCTTTTTAGAAACCGCACTGATCTCTACCTGTCCTGGTGTGAATGGGGCCTTATCAGCTTTCAATAAAAGCTTTGTGCCAGTGATCAAACACCTGCTGACAAGCCTGAAGTACTCACATCACAACACAACTTTCAAGCAGCAGGCATTGTAGTCCACAGAGATAATTTCCCTCATTCAGGGCCAGTGCACACGACGTCCGGATTCTGTCCTGACCAGATCCTTGCGCTCCTGCACTAAAAATGCATCCCAATGCATCCCTATGTGTTTTATGGGCTACAGTTCTCACGTGCGCAGTGCGTTCAGGTCCAGACAGAAAAAATACTGCATGTCACATTTTGTCCGGTCAGGATACGGTCCAGAAACGCAAAACGCGTCAAAAACGCAATGCAGCTAACATACTGACAGCCCCACCCCACTTTACTGGAACGCGTAAAAAACGCGCCAAAAACGCATAGCACCGCGTCTGCAGATCTGCTCCAGATCCGGTCTCGACATTTGTGTGAAGTCTTGATGAAAAGGGTCTGTTTTGGATCCCCAAAACGCATTGGCTACTTTCCCCTAAAGTCCCCCTGACCCTAATGGAATAAAGTTTTATCGGGACTGGCACTTCAATTGCTACATTTACTGGGTTTTAGATGCTATCCATGGCTTCATTAGAGATATTTTTTTCTGCTTGTTTACCTGTTGCAGATTTCCCTTCACTTTCTATTTGATGAAACTGTTGTCAGCAGGACAGGAAGTGAGGTTAAAATTTCCCTAACAAAGCAGTAAAAATCCAACAAACGTTTCACTCCTTCCCTACTTTATCCAAAACTACAAAAGTATTTGGCTTGACATACACTTTTAAAACTTAAATGTATATGCCTTTTTTGCACACAAAGTATAAACAGAAAGCAAACACTTTATCTGAGCTTACCTTGAAAGCAGAACTTCATGAAAATATCAGCGACGACTTAGCAAGCAGCAATGGTAGGGCAATAAACACTTTGATCAGGAACATGTAATACACAAAGGTATACTAACAAAACAAAGAACTTGCTATGTAGAAAAAGGAGTATGCTGAACGTAGGCAAAGGTCATTATAACTGGTTGAATCTTATGTTTGTGTGGAGTTCCCCTTTAAAGAAGAAAACCTCAACTACTTGTTGTTGATCATTTAAAGCATGTATTTTTTTCTATACAATCCCACTTACTGTAAGATAAAGGCACTGAAGCAAATAAGAAACACAAAATATAGGAAAGGTTAAAGACAACATTTTATTTAACAAATTATATTAAGGATACACACTAATAAACTTACAAGGAAAATCCCCTTGTTAAAATACAGGGTGGCATGTAAAATAAATACAAAAGTATATATATATATATATATATATATATATATATAGTACTGCACATTTCCAGTAAGTTAAGGTCAAATGCATAGAGTATTGATAATTTCAGAGTTTTATTTTCTTAACTTTGCACTTTTCACAGCCTATATGGGATTTACAGGTGGGTAACATCATAAATAGCACATATTAAAATGTATGTATAACCAAAACATTTTTTTTCTTCTCAATTTTTATTGCAGTTTTGTCCTTGTTTATTTGTTATTTGTTCCTGTAACTATGTCCACCATCATTATGGGAAATGCAATATTTTAGAGATGTCACAAACAGGAAGTCATGCTAAATCTGCCAATGGGGATACCTGTTTTAGTAGTAACTGTTTTGGAGAGGTATTCCCCTCACTTCGTAGTTAATTTATCTTCCATCCTGTATCTTTGGGACAGGAAGTAAAGGGAAATCTTCGCAATGAGACACACAGCAGAAAATAAACTGACATAGGTTGCAACCATTCCTCACTCTATCCGAAACAAAAACCAATTGGCTTTACATACACTTTTAATATTTGATCATTTTGTTTGGCATTTTACATAACCAACAAAGGCAATCCAAAAAGATGTTATCTGGAACACTGATACTATTACAACTACCCTGAATATTAGCATAGCTTTGCACTTTGGCACATATCAAGCTTCAGCCTATATGCTTTCTTTTATCTGGTCCCTGCAGGAACATACAAATCAGATGAAATCTGATACCTGAATGGGTTCTGTCCACGCACTGACATTAAAGGGGGTCCAAAATGCTTTTGTAAACAACAGCTGGACTCCTGTAGGGTGCCAATCATAAAGAACCATGATCATGTGGGGTTACTACTAATCAGGGATTGAAATGTTGCCGCTGTTCAACCTCCAGAATGCTCTATGATCAACTGGTAAATATGTCTTGAATCAATGCCAATCTAAGCGATCTGCATTCTGTAACCTCCTAAGCTGCCCCTAACCTAAAGAGCAAACACTTCTGTTGCAGGTCAGACTTTAGCTTTTGTATCTGGCAAATCAGTAGAAGGTTTTCAAGAAATAACCTTCAGAAAAGTCAATCAGCTTGTTAGAATACAACACTAATTCCTCAGTTATACCACTGATGAGGAAATGTCCAAAAAATCAGCTGCATCTATGAGAAAGGTAGGCAGAGGCTATTATACATCAAGATGTCTTTGGCCATGGATGAAGGGGTGTGGGGGAGTGTTTCTGGAGGAGGGCACCCTAGAGGTTAAGCATGCCATGTGAAAGTTGCAGATCATGGCAAACCCCACCCACCCTCTGAAAGTGGCAAAACTCAGCTTTAAAGTATTATTTTAGAAACCAGTAAGACTTACAGTGTGAAGATTTCTGTCTGCAAAATATGCCCAATTCCAGAAAACCTGCCACTTTTTGAATAATTTCAGAAATGTTGTGGATGTCTAACTTCATTGTATGGTTTCCCAATTTAATGTCAACAGGCAGCATGTATATTGTGCTATTGTAATTAGATCTACAGATCATGTTCAGCTTTATGCCCCACTACTGTCACAGCACACAGAAATCGCATTATAAACAGTAACAAAATGTATTTCTTCTGAATGCCAGTTTCTTGACAAACAGGACAACATTATCACAAAAATTCTGTCAAATCATGACTCACCATTGAATACATAGGGCCCATATACACTTGCCCGTTCCACGCACATGTGCATTGAGTTAAGGAAGCCTATGCAAATGATTGAGTAGCCAACCCACCAGAATGGACAAAAAGAATCATATGTAGCACTTTTTTCTGCAGTGAACCACAATGCATGTCATGTGTGTCAGAGGTGTGTTCAAAATGGGCTGGGATGCCCATGAAAATGAATGCAATGCACTATCATGCGCATGGTGTATTAGCATGTGTTGCAGTAACATGCACATTACTGCTATGTAATAGAACAGATAGGTGTAAATGGGCACTAATAGTTCCATGTGTTAAACTGCCCAGTCCTCTGTCCTTGACTTTCAATACTCTAGGCTGCTGTGGTCACAGGGATAATAATAAAGTGTTTGGTGACACTTCATGTTAGCAGGACTGTACACCTTCTATGGTAGCCACAAACTTCTGTGACCAAGCCAGAATTCCCAAGAACAACTGAAACAACAAGCACCATTTAAGTTCATGTACTAAAGACCTTATTTTTGTTCCCTCCTTAAACTTACTTTGTCACAGCACATATGAAAGAGTATATACTATTGTTTCGATTCAGAGGACAGAAGAATGGTTTATAACGGAGCTAGTCTATTATGCATATGTACTATAAATATGATCATATTTATGATGCCTACTGTAGTCTTCCATCTCCTTTCTATTTACTGTACTTTTTAAGTGTACAGTCCAGACAGAGAGAACACAGTACAGAGAGATCACAAATGTGTGTATGCATGCACCAAATCTATGTAAAATTGAGATGTAGTGCATAAATGTACACGTTCATTTTCAAGACCACTCTAGAACACCAGGTTGAATCTTATTGGCTGCTATGGGCATTCACTCTACTTTTCAGTTCAGCTTGCTCTTCCAAATGTCATTTGAAAGCAGAATCCCTCTTGCTAGAATATTAGTCAAACTGTGCTTTAACCTGAAAATGCTCTGTTTTCTTTATGAGGAATAGAAAACCAGCAACACAAAGATGCATTTCCAAACTACAAATTAGGGCAGAAAATAAGTATTGTTACAGTACAAATTGCATCTTCATATTCAATTGCAAGTAATGGTTACAAATGCAGCTAAGGATAACTATACTTTTATATAACTTATTCCTACCTGCCTTCCCCATTTAAGCTATACTCACTTCTCATCAGTGGATGACTCAGTCCAGGAGTTGGGGGCCTATGCTGAACAGTGTGTTGGTCCCCATCTTAGCTGTTAATTGTGCCTAAGCAGTGCCTGAAAATTAAAATTTTTGCCTAGAATTACTCCTGCCAAATATTGTACTATTTCCCATGTGTCTGTGCACTCCTGTTGTGTAGCTTATTAGCTTTATAACTGCAGTGAGTTCATCTATTGCATTGCTGCTATTGACTGCTAGCCTCAAACGAGTTGGTATGAGATTTGGTGTTGTCACTACTGTGCTGCTCACTGTTCTCCTGAGGGCTTCTTGGAGAGAAAGCTGTACATGAAGACCCAAAGTGCAAGTATCTCCCTGTTTCTGTGGCCCTGTACTGTTTGCACCTCTCCAGCATTTTCATCAGAGTGGTATCTCTCACAGGAGGGAGAAAAGCCCCGCTGCTCTACCAAGATAGCTGCCTCCACACAGAGAGATTGTGTGGAACAAGCCATGGATGGTAGGTCACTAATAGGAGTCATAAAAGCAATATGGGTTAGGACATAAAAGACTAGTCAGACCTTTGCCCTC